CCTTGATTGGAAAACATTGTCGTAGGTAGTCCTTAAGAGCATAAATGCGGGTTGGGTCATTTCCGAAAATCACCAAATCATCAACATATGCAAGTACCACAGGAATGCTGCCTGATTGGACTAAAGTAAAGAGAGTATTACCAACAATTGATTGCTAGAAGCCCTGTTGGCGAAGAGCCTGAGCTAGAGTTTCAAACCAATTACGTGAGGCTTGCTTGAGGCCATAAATGGAATTGTTCAAGCGACACACTCGTTGATCCATAGGAAGCAAGAGTCCTGGTGGGGGCACCATGTAGATTTTTTCATGGAGAGTACCATGCAAGAATGCATTGTCCACATCCATCTGATGTAATTCCCAATTTCGGGCTGCAACGAGGGCTAAGAGGCAGTGTACTGTTACTAACTTAGCAACTGGGGCATATGTCTCTGTATAGTTGATGCATTTAGTTTGTCTATGGCCTTTTTCTACCAAGCGGGCTTTGTAACGGTCAACAATTCCATCATACTTGTACTTGACTTTGTAGACCTAGCGGCAACCAATGGGAGTCTTTCCCAATGGCAGGTCAGTAAATGTCCAGGTATGGGTGCGGTCAAGAGCTACTAGTTCAGCTGACATAGCTTGCTTCCAACAGTCATGTTTGTTGGCTTCATCATAACAAGAAGGTTCAGGTTGTGTATGTGGGATTGAACTCATGGTTAAAAACTTGGAGATTGGGTGGTGGGTGCTGTATGAGTTTGTCTATGACTGAAGTGTTGGGAAAATATAGTCAGCCAGATGTGGAGGAGGTCTATTGGATTGAAGTGGGCGATGGTTATGTGAGGTTGGAGGACTAGGCACCGCAGGTTCAAAAGTCGGTCAAATGACTAAGTCCCTGTCACTAGTGTGTTCGGGCAAATTTGAAATAATAAGGGATTGTGGGCTGTCACAAAGTAGTTCAGTTCTAGGTGTTCGGCTAGGAACGGTATCAGCCACAACATCATCGATTGTCGGTAAAGGCATGGTTGGAGGTGGAGATGGGTCCAAAGACATGTTCTCATCAGCAAAAGGAAATTTGTGTTCAAAGAAAATTACGTCCCTGGACATAATTATTCGCTTGGTTTCCAAGTCATATAATCTGCATCCATTTTGACCATTAGGATACCGAACAAACACACACTTGGTGGCACGAGCATCAAATTTATCGCGCCCACGTCGGGATGTACTTGCATAGCAGAGAAACCCAAATGTTTTGAAATGATTATATGAAGAAGGCTTGTTGAAAAGGAGTTCACACGGTGATTTTCCAGCAATATTGGAGTAGGCAAGTGATTAATAATGTAAGTTGCTGTCAGAATGCATTCTCCCCAGAACTCGATTGGAAGGTGCGCTTGGAACCGTAAGGCCCTTGCTATCTCAAGTAAGTGTCGGTGCTTACGCTCAACGACCCCATTCTGTTGAAGAGTGTCTATGCAAGATGTTTGGTGTAAGATTCCATGTGTTTTTAAGTAATCTTGAAAAGGTCCAAAGAGAAATTCAGGTCCATTATCCGAATGGATACACTTAACTTGAGCATTGAATTGAGTTTTCACCATTTCACAAAACGTTACAAGAAAGGAACAAGCGTCTGACTTGTATCGTAACAAATATACCCATGTAGATCGAGAGTACGATCATCAACAATTGTCAAGAAATAATGGGCTCCAGAATGAGACGGAGTGTGATAGCTCCCCCAAATATCACAGTGTATGAGAGAAAATTGGGCATCAGACATAGTATAACTAATTGGAAAAGAAAAACGTGTTTTTTTGCTCGAAAGCATATGTCACAACAGCCATCATTTGGTACAGTAATATGCAGTTTCAGAATCAAAGCAAGTTTCTCATTAGAAGCATGTCCCAACCTCGAGTGCCATATGTGTGAGTCATGTGCATGGGTATTGTGTAGAGAGAAAGACGGTGCAAAGGAAGCGAAATGATACAGCCCATCACACATCAGGTCCACACCAATTAGCTTCTTGGATGTCAGGTCTTGAAGGGCACAAAAAGTGGGAAAGAACAACACATCACAATTCAAATCTTTGGTAAGTTTACCAACAGATATAAGATTGCATTGAAATCTTGGAATGAATAACACGTCCTTTAATACCAGATTTGAAGTTAACGCTATGCCACTTTGTGACTGAACTTGTAATAGTGTTCCATTTGGCAACTGAATCGGGAACCATATGATCTGAGGCCCCACTATCCAAAAGCCAAGAAGAGGTAGTGATTTTACCTGCAAAGTTGGCTGGGAAGCTATGTTTATCTTTATCCAAAAGATCAGACAGACCGCTGATGGTGCTTAACAACTGTTGATATTGTTCCTTGGACAGAGTTCGTGCCGACAACAGGCTTTTCTTGATTCCCAATGTTGTCATTGGATGTGGATTTTGATCGAGTTTCCCAATTTGGTGGATACCCGAACAATTCAAAACAATGGTCCTTGTTGTGACCCTATTTCTTACAATGATCACAACGAATCTTGGACTTTTCTTTTCCTCCTTTTGGACTGAATTTTGGGCCTGCCACATGAAAGGCAACAGCCTCTGTGTTTGGACCATGCTAAGTAATTAAAGATTGATGTCTTTCTTCCTGTGACACAAGAGCATACTCTACTTATTCTTGGTAGAGGATCCATGCTCAAGATGCTCGATCTAATGTTGTTAAACTTTTTATTTAGACCTAGCAGAAACTGATACACCTTGTCTCTTTCTCGTTCTACAACGAAACTTTTCTGGATTTCACAAGTACACAACCCGCATGTACATGATGGTCCAGCTGTATAAGCTGACAACTCATCCCAAATTCCCTTGAGTTTCGAGAAGTGAACAAAGATAGGGAGATTTTCTTGCTTGAGCAGCATGAGTTCTCTCTTGAGGTGAAAGATTCTTGGATTATTTCCTTGTGAGAATCTTTCTTCCAAATCTTTCCACCTTTCTTGAGTGTTTTCAGCATAAGTTACACTCTCATGGAGATCTTTGGCTAAAGAATTGAAAATCCATGACATCACCATGGAGTTACATTTCGATCAGGCGAGGAACGCTGCCTGATTTGCTAGATCTGGCTTCTGAATCATCCCATTCACAAAGCCAATCTTGTTCTTGGCGCTGAGAGCAGTAGTCATTGCCTTACGCCAAGTCATATAGTTGTCTCCATTAAGGAGGCAAGAAACAAAAACTGTGCCAGGACCAGAGCCAAAATTGAATTCTGATCACCGGAAGAGGAGATCTTATTACCAAGAGAGAACATAGTGTTTCCATTTCTATTCATGGCTATTCTTGCTGATATGAAGAAAAGAGTAAAACAAGGAGTAATAAAGGACCAGAGCCAAAAAAGATAGGAATGGAAGCAAAAGAGAACCAAAATTGAGAATCCGCAAGAAACAGGATTTTCCAAAGGGCTTAGCGAACTTAGAAACACAAGATTGACGAAAGGAAAGAATTATCTTTCTTCATTAAATAACCAAATATGTATAGGCAATTATTTTAAGGTGCCAAAATAGGCTGACGTGGCATTTACAGATTAACAGATCGTAGCTTACTAGTGAGGTTGTAGCTTTATCGCAACTTGCTTCTTCTAACAGATCGTAGCTTCGTTGCAAGTTGCGAGTGAGGTTGTAGCTTTATCGCAACTTGCTTCTTCTGGGTACTCTCTCTAATAATGGCCGAGCTTGCATGACTCTAGTTTTCCGAAGGAGAAGCTTAGAAAAGCGGGTTGGAGTTCAGAGGAGATAATAGACACACTAGGTTTCTATTGTTGGTTCTTCGAGTTGCTCAAAAAAGCAGGTTCTTCCCTCTCCTTATCGTTCTCTTCTCCGGTGCCATAGGGGAGCCATTGGAACCATAAAGGTTAGAAAAAGGAACTGTTGGAACTGCAGAGGTCAGATGTTATAGAGGAATTGCAGTTATGACCTTTCCCTCTCTTCACTCTCCCTCTCGTTCTCTTCCCTGGTGCCATAGGGGAGTCGTCGAAACTACAGAGGTCGGAATTAGAAGCAAAGCAGTAGTCTCTCTCTCTCTCTCTCTCTCTCTCTTCTTAGTTTTCAGAACTAGCTTCAACGGTCTCCTTCACTCCGTATCCTCGCTCTCGAATCCAGAACACATGGAGAAAAGGAGGAAGAAAGCAAGGCCTGAAGGCCCTGAACTCACTGAGAAATTTGGGTTTTGTGTTTCTTAGCTCCAACATTTGTTTTCTCTCTCTGGTTCTCTCTGACCACTCCACGATGCCCTTATTTTAGTTTTCTCTCTAACATTCGTTTCAGTTTTCCCTTATCGATCAAAATCACCGCTGTAGGCAGCTGCAACTTCTAGCAGCAGCAGCAGTGATCTTCTTCCTCCACCCCTTTCCCTCTTCGTTCTCCCTCTCCACCTCCCCATGTATACAATTTCATCTCAAATTTGAGTATCTCTCAGATCTCATATCTGGGTTTCTTTATTCTACCCCCTTTTCCCTATTCTTCTCCCTCTCCACCTCTTCTTACCAGTGTTGGCATTAGAGATAGGGCGGCTGGACTTAGGCAGCAAAGACCGAAGAAGCGGGGTATGGGAGAGAAAATTGAAGGGCAAAATAGACATTTCAGCCTTTTCGTCAATATTTTAACCGTAATAAAAATAGCAGTGTTAGACAATAATCAAATAGTAGATGATGTATAATTAGTCAATTAGCTTAAAAAATTTACCCTATTCACCAAGAGGAATAAAAAGATTCATGCTCTAGTCCTTGAAAGTCACGCTGGTTCGATGGTTTATTTCAAGTTCGCAAAAACTTCACATGCTTGATAAATAAATGGATTTTTTTCTCGTAAGTCTATAGTGGAAATTTTACACTGTTGTACTTGAAAAATCAAAAGTTCATAAATCATTCCATGTTGTTGGTGTTTTTAACAGCATTCTCATAATATATCTTTTCAAGAATAAGCCTAGATGAAATGAAAGATAAAAGTCTCATGAACTTGCCAGGTGGCAAACAGAGCTACTTGTTTCACGAAAGAAGAGTCAATTAAGGCGGTTAGTGGAATTATTTGATTTGAAGCCACCCATATATTTTCATTTGGTCCGGTGGTCCCTACATCCAAAGCGAAAGATATTATATAGTTAAATAAATCCAACTAAGTCTGAAACTGTTTCAAGTCCCAGCACAAAGGAAAGTCCTGGATGCCTTCATTCACAAATCACGCACAATAATTTAATGGCGACCATGATGTAAGTTCAAGGAGTTGACTGGGTTCGTCTACCAGCTGCCGATTTTGAAAGTAAGTGTTTAATGATTCATTTTGTTCATCCATTATATATAGCAAAGCTTTAATTTCTTCTATATTCATCAACTCAAGTGCTCGATCAGATAAATTCAAGTGCAAGGAAAGAAATGGAGGGAGCTTTATGCAAACCACATGGAGAAGAGAAGGATGGGTTACCGGAGATCTCTCTCCGGCCATTAGAGCTCGCAGACGTGGACGATTTCATGGTTTGGGCCACAGACGATCGAGTGACTCGTTTTTGCAGTTGGGACAGTTGCACTTACGCCTCTAAAGACGATGGTTTGAAATATATCGAGGACACAGTTATTCCTCATCCATGGTTCAGAGGTATTTGCTTGAACAACCGCCCAATTGGTGCCATTTCAGTCAAACCGTACTCAGGCAACGATAGCTGCCGAGGTGAACTTGGTTACGTTCTGGCCTCCGAGTATTGGGGACGAGGGATCGCCACACAAGCTGTGAAGATGGTGGTGTTGTCCATATTCAAAGATTGGCCGCATTTAGAGAGGCTTGAAGCTTTGGTCGATACCGAGAATCTGGGCTCGCAGAGAGTCCTAGAGAAGGTTGGGTTCATGAAGGAGGGTGTCCTGAGGAAGTATGTAATTCAAAAGGGGAGCACTCGAGATATGGTGATGTATAGTCTTCTTTCTACAGAATTTGATTAGTTATTTGGTTGCAGATGTGATGTGAAGGAAACTTTGGGTTTTCTATGTATTTGAATTTTGATGAATTACAGGGAAATCGTAACTTGCTTGGTTTAGAGAATGAAAACTGTGTTTTCTTCATGGGATTTGTGGTAACAAATCCGAGCTAGATTATCTGGCTACATACTCCAACCATGTATTAGCATTCCTCTATGGAATAGAATTAAACAGCTGATCTTTGATGTATTTCAAGAGAAAAGGATGACCCATGTAACAGAAAGTATCTTCAATCAAGTAGGCCTTAAATTGAAGGTTTTGACTATCAGTAACGACCAAGCTTAGAATTTAGATAATCTCAGGCAGGGAGATCATAGCCCAGTGCTCCCAACGCCATAGCCAGTTTGAGAGTTGATCATTCAAAACCAGCCCATGAATTTTGATGAATGTATCATGTGATCGATTTTAGTCTACCCACCAACTCAACCAGATTGATCCGGTCGGTCTGGACCTCAACCTCATGGAGGAGACGGGTCCAATGTATTTAAATTGGGACTGAATGGCTCATGGCCCAACGTCTAGTCCCACATCGGTTGAGAGAAAGAGCAGAATATCAAATGACTACCATAAAAACACAACCATAACCCCTTCATAATTCATACCTTTCTCGGCCTTTTGGCTAAGATCAAGTGTAGTATCTGTTCTTATCAGTTTAATATCTGATACGTGGGCCATAGGCTCACATGATATTAAAATAATTTTTTCTTGGGGGAAAGCCCACCACAGTAGCTTGCTGCTGGGGCTTTCGCGCGTCGCCCATGCGTTGCACTACTGCACGGGCCTGGCGCACTCCATTAAACCAAGTTTGTAAGGATTTAGTTTACGAAGCAGAGACATACATCCTTTATTCTAACTCTGGTTCTGTCAGAATTCCTTTGTTTCAATCTTATCTCTTCTTCTTTTGTCACCCAATTCTTATCTTATGCCTCTGTTTCCTTATTTTAATTTATCCAATCTCCTACTCCCGTGCCTCCTCTTTGGGCCCCTTAGTAGGTGTAATTCTTTTCTTTTGTCAGTGTAATCATTATCGTTATCCATACTCTGAACAGATACCCCTCGTCATTGGCACTTGCTCAGGATTAGGACGACGATGATGCTACTGGTAATTGTACTCAGGAAGATGCAGGTATATCTTGATTCCAATACTGTGCTGAAACTTTTGTCCAATGGATTCCCCACAGATTTGAAGCTTCAACAAATTCCATTTACCAAATGTTTGACATTTGATAAGATACCAGAGTTGCTAAGATTCATCCTCCAAACATGAGCAGCTAAACTACAGGCTTCCACACATCTACGCCTCAAAGTCTCATAATCCAACAGTCGGTATGTCAACCTTGAGCTTTACCATTAAATCGATAACCATAAACGTATTGGGTTACAGTTTCTGATACTGTTTTCGTTGGTTTGCTGCTGTTTCAAGAACATGGATGTAGATTTGTCGAATATCACTCTCCGTCCATTTAGACTTTCTGACCTTGACGACTTCATGGGGTAGGCTGGTGATGATCAGGTGACCCGTTTCATCAGATGGAACACCTTCACCTCTAAAGAAGAGTCTTTGAACTACATCAAGGACGTTTGCATCCCTCACCCTTGGCGTCGATCAATATACTTGGACGACCGCTCCATTGGATTCATTTCTGTCAAGTCTGCTTCAGGCGACGACTACTGTAGAGCCGATATTGGTTATGCTGTGGCCTTTGAGTACTGGGGCAAAGGGATAGCCACCGCAGCCTTGAAGATGGCGGTGTCTGGTGTGTTCAAAGACATGCCAGGCTTGGTCAGACTGCAAGCTTTGGTTGATATAGATAATAAGGCCTCTCAGAGGGTCTTAGAAAAAGTTGGGTTCCTCAAGGAAGGTGTTTTGAGGAAGTATTGTTTGCTCAAAGGTAGGATCAGAGACCTGGTTATCTACAGTTTCTTGTGCACTGATAGCATTCTAGATTCAAAGTCAATTTTGATGTTTCCTTTTGTCTTTTGAAAGCCTGTAAATTGGTCAGAGATTAGGGAGTGGAACTTGACTTTTGCAGATTTCTGTCTAACTGGGATTACTTAATATTGTTGACAGAGTACAGTTTCAGTAGCTGTATAAATTTGCTTCCGGCAATGTATATTGTATGTCTAGCTGTTACAACTCGAGAATGTTGCATGTGGCTTGTTAATTGGTAGGTTTTATTCCTTCTTTTCTTCAAGGGGTGAGCTTCAGTCCCGCTTTCCTTTGTAATATTGCCAAATAAAATATAAATTTAAAAGTGGTGGGTGATGAGCTTGTAAGATTTCAGAGAAAGCTCGATGATTCCATTCACTATTTAAAGCGGAATTACAACGAAAGTTTAAAAAGATTTAACTTTTTGTAAAGATAACCTCTGTGTCTCTATCCTGATCCAACTCAAATTCTTTCCATCTTATCTCAACCACATACATTCCCTAAACAGAACTCGTGGAGAGTGGAAATAGTTGAAGTAGCCAATAGGCTCTTCTTTAGTGCACTAAAAAAATTAAGTGATCTCCATTGACGGCATCATCACTAGAGCTCGACACGGCTGAAACAGGATACGACATTTTCTTTTGATACAACAGCAGGATAAGACATTTAAAGATAATTAAGTGACCCCCTGAGACTCTCTGAGTGTGTGTGTGTGTGTGTGAGAGAGAGAGAGAGAGAGAGAGAGAGAGAGTTCTATCGCCATAAACGGACAACCAAATATGGAGTCAAGAAAAACCTCATCATATTCTTATCAGAACGAACAGTAACAGTAGAAGAACAGGAGGAAAGAGGATAGGGCCAAGGAATACAGGGTTTCCTATTTTCTGTTATTTGTTTGGTTTTTATTTAGTTTACTATTTATATATGGCGTTGGTAGCTAACTTTGTTTTTCTTCATGGGTTATCTGATCCTCAATTAGGGCTTTTTGGAATCATGGTTGGTGGGTTTGTTGTTTGGATCTTTTCTTGCGTTTCTGTTTTCCTTTTTCAAATTTTCCTTTGTGCTATTAGTCTCGGTTGTTGAAATGCTTATGGAAGAAGAGAACATAAAATTAAAAAAAAAAAAAAGAAAACTAAATTTAGAACAGAATCTGAAATGAATATAACTTGGGATTGTCGGTTAAACAATAACAACTCTAAAAAATTAACGATCCCAAACCCCAACTAGTTATTAATGTGGCCAACTACACGAGAGAGGGAAAAGGGAGGGAGGGGGTTTCCAGAGACCAACAAAGTGGCAACGAGGATGATGAAGGTGAAATCATCAACAGGGATACCAGCACATACATTCGTTCAAGAAGGTGCCCGGCGGTCTGTAGCAACTTCCACGGCCATTGTATTTCGCAAAGCACTGTTGATTGCATAGAGAGTTAAGATTGCAGCCAAGAAGCGCGATTTTGCATGTCTTGGCATCAACGACCTCCATCCTCGTCGTCTCGGCTGCACAATCGAGTATTTTCTTTTATGGGTAAACGATCACAATAATTTTAACAATCAAAAGGAACCGAAGAAAAAAAGGCATGAAAAAATGAAACCGACCTGAGAAGAAGAGTAGGAGAGCCAGGAATAAGGAGGGAGAGAACTTTCCCATCATAACAGTTGAGCACTGTTTTGTTTGTCTTCGAGAGTGAATGCCAATGGGTTCATGTCATGACGTGCATGAATTAACCAGTACAAAGTAGGGATTTGATGGAATCTAGTAGTGTCGCCAATACTCCACTGGTCACGATAGTCCAGTTGTCATGAATCTCGGTTGCTCTGAGCCTGAGCCGTGTGGCTGAGAGTAGCCTGACGACTGATTACCATAGGTTGAAAGTTTTAAGGACCAGATGCTGCGACATTTGATTCATTTCTGAACCCCGAGTAGCACAATTGTCCAGCTTTCAGGCAAGCCACTGCCATGCATTGGAAGTCACCCTGAGAGAGAGAGAGAGAGAGCTCGAATTGCGAAAGAACAACTAAAAACTGGAGTTTGAATACAAAAACAGGGGGCTTATGGGGCCGCACCTCCTGCTCCTGTCCTTTTGTGATTTAAGAGCTGAGCTCCATGAAGGTGAAGCTTATCGAGTGGTATGACTAAAATCCATCTTCACTCCGGTGATCGGGGAACCTACTCCCACGCAGAAGGTTTCCGTTTACGTTTGCCGTTTGGAGACAACCGAATGACTTCTGCATTGCAGTCTGCTAGATGTTTGTCTACAGGAGTCAAAGCGCCTTGCTTAAGAAAGGCTAGTTTCTTTGAAAATCTTAACCAAACGACACCTAGTTAAATAAGGGACTACTAGATTACTTGCGCAATGACCATGAAATGTAACCACCAGACTACCTAAGCCAAAATCCAAAGGAATATAAAATGACTAAACTATCCCTTCTATCTGAAACAAAACATACATAAAATAAAATAACCAGAAATTTAATCTCATATCTGACCTTTTTTCTTTGATATATACCATTACCATGGCCATATTAGATAAATGGCATGTCAGCCATTCCCTTATGGGTTAACTATTCTCCAACCTAATGGAGAATTCTGAATGACAGCCCCTCATAGTCTATTAGTAGTACTCCCCCTATAAACCACATCCTGTCGGTAAATTTGGCATCAATTTCATTGTTATGGACACACCTCTGGGTAGCGCACTGCGGTGCGGTCATAGGTAGCAGTACGCACAACGGGCCGCCCAGTAGCATACACCGCCCGGCAGCGTCGCACAACAACCTGGCAGCACGCCGCATGTACCGCACGGTAGCAGCACGCACTGCACGACAGCAGCACGCACCTCACGGCAGTAGCACTGCGAGACGCGCGCACCGCCCGACAGCAACAGTAGGGCGAGGCCCACATGACAGCTCATCAGGGTGGGCCCACACTTATCTTACCACATCAGCTCTGCCGCCAATTCGCCGCCAGCTACACCATTCCTTATCCCTTATCCCTTATCTTATCTTATCCTTATCCTTATCTTATCTTAAGTAAGAGTTGTGTTACCATTAGGAATAGGTAATTAGGAGTTTGAGTTCAAGTTGGAGTTTGAGTTTAATTAGGAATTTCCTTCTGTAATCTCCTATTTAAGGAGCCACGAATTGAAATAAAGCATTCAGTTTTCGCAGTCAAGAAAGAGAGTGAGGAGAGTTCGGGTGGTCTCTTGGACAAATCACCCATTAGGAGAGTTCGGGTGATCTCTTGGACAAATCACCCACGCGATTGCCACAATAGGGTTTGTACGCAAGGGCAAGGGCAAGGGAAGACAGGAGTCTCTCCCGGTGGACCGACCCGTGACGAGATCCTACGCGTGGACCCATAACATTCATGGTCAGGATTCATGCCCTGTATCATGGGGCTAAAAAATTCTGATCTGGACTGATTAGTCATTTTCCCTTCTCTTTTAGCCTTTTAGACTGTATTTGTTTATGGTGCAATTCTGATCCGGATACAAATTTTGCATGAGATTCATTTGTGCATTCATTATTTGTAATACATTTTTATTTGATACAAAATTTGTACTTTTTGTTTCATTTGTATACATTGCATACCTTACATCCCAAAGATTGATGTAAAATTTGCATCACCTCCCTCTTAGATCAATTCCCTCCTGGGAATGACCTCATCAGCTTACTTCTTACTTAACTCCCAAACAAATGAGTACAGATCTGCTGGGCACATTACAGCTGTGCATTGGGAGCCTCTCTTATTCTTTATTCTTTATGTTGTCATTCGTAAGGACATGTTCCTGATGCACTGCTGTATTGTCTTCCTGATGCACAACTGTAATGTCTTGTGTACAGCAGATCCAAATTCCAAACAAACAACTCTCCTAAGCCTCACTTCCATTCCGTTTTGATATAAGGTGGAGTATTTCATGGCATTTAATTTTCTTAATTTGTATTTTACTTGTCAAAAACAAACTATTTGCACTCCCATGCATTATACACAAATATGTAGAGTAAAAATACAAGATTTTGCACTCTAGTATTAATTAAGGCTTGAGTTATATTTTTTCAGGCTGAGTTTCAACCTGATTATGTTATGTGTCCGTCAATAGTAATGCTCTGAAGGATGCTTACATCCTCAATCACAGGAGCTAATAAAACAAAGACTTTCTTAACTACGTACCAATGCCATTGCCATTTTCCCGCTCTCCCTCTCCCCCTTTCCCCAGGGTTATACAACCATGTCTCAGTTCCAAAGGATGTCATTGTCAAGAAGCATGGGTAAGGCTAAGTCTGAAAGCATGATATGCTATAAGCCAGGCTGCTTGAAATTGACCAAGTAACTATACCCATCCAAGAAACAATTTGAAGAACAACAATTTTGCTTAAAAATAACCTTTTAAAAGATGACAAGATTCCCACCATTTGGATAGTGCTTACATATATAGTAGTAGATTGCACTTCCTTGAAATAAGTTATATTTCTGGTGTTTTTCATGGATCAACAAGTTGCCACAAGTTAATTTATGAAACAAGTTGAAGCTGGAAATACTTCGTGCATACATGTGGAGACACAAGAACATGAGAAGATTCAGAAGGATGAAAAACTAGGAGTTCAAGTGTTGTATTCATTTTGAATGTCATCCAACATAATTTCATCAGACTTTATCTTAATTACCTAGTAAATCACAAATCCACATCCGTAAGATATGCAGGAGAGTTGAGTAAAATAAAGCATAGAATTAAACACAGGGCAACAGGGCTCCTAGTTGGAACCCAACACCACCACCCAAAAAACAAACAAATTAATTAGATGTTGCCAATTGTTACTTGGGTAATTGGGTCCATCAGGTACTGAAACCTTTAAAACAAGGTTCTAAATATCTATACATGATCAGTCTGTATCGGTGTTTTTTTTCCAAAATCAGTTCAAAGGAGTCAGTTTAAGTCCCTCCCAGCTACCTTCTGAACTATGATCTGACTTGATACACTCCCTGTAGGGGCATGTTAGGGAGGCTACAATATAATACATATTGGCCGATACAAGTCAATACATAATGATATTTTGAACCTTGCTTTAAGAAAAATGGCAATGAAAAGATAATAAAGGTTTTACCAAGATATATAAGGAAATGAAACCTATAAGTATTTGAGAAAATTTTTGTGGAGAATTATGTCTTATTATGCAAGGCACAACCATATATATATATGTATACATAC